AATTCAGGGGGATAAGAACTGCAAAAAGTTCAATCTGAAGAAAGTTATAACAATTTGAAGCCAAAAAACCTGCGCTCTCCAAAAAATCGGTCCACGATTTCCCAAAAACGGTCCAACGGGGCGATTTTTTGACTCCGTCAACTTTGAAGGAAGTTCAAGTACACGTTGGAAAGCTCTAACTTTCTTCAACCCAGGGGGACAATAATTGCAAAAGGTGGAATTTGAAGAAAGTTATAGTAATTGAAAGCCAAAAAACCTGGTCTTGCGAAAAAAACGGTCCAACGGGGCGATTTTTCGGAGGAAAAGAGATTTTGCAAAAGCTAGAGCTTTTTTTAGAAAGAAAACAGTCTGACCTTTCCAAATTTTCTTACCGCTCCTCATAGTTCCTTCTTTGAAGAAAGTTACAACCTTTCAAATGAAGAAGTGCACATTTCTGTAAATTCTTTGTTTTCTACCCCATAACCGACGTACTTTTGAAGATAAGGCATAATAGATGTGATCCTCTGAAACAAGCAGTTAAGTAGATTACAAATCCGCTTAGCAATTTGAAAAATATTGATATTGAACAAAATTACGCTTATTTGAAAGTCAATAGTCTGTTTCTCGCGACCCGCGCTGCGCCGAGGGGGAAGATTGCGCGCGCCAATGCGAACGCAACGCTACCGTGCTCCGGTCGGACACTTCTGCTGTATACTCTCACGCTCTGAGATGCGCCATGCATTCGTTGGCAACTTGAAATCATTGTGAATATTCCCCTTTTGATGCGTTTGCATATCGATGGAAATTTTTGTGATTCTGAACGCCAAGTCATGAAAGGCAGGCAAAGCGCCATTCAAACTAATGGGCAGTACTGTTCAGCACCTAATAAAGGCAGTCCGTTTTGCGATGTTATGCATAAGTAAATTACGATATCAGGAAACTAGAGTTCGTCTGCTACTGTGTTTGAATTCAAGCCAAGTGTCCTTAGATATTTTGTAGATTGCACTTACTTCCCCTAGTGTTAGCTTTTCTTTACAGTGTACCGTACATAATAAGGGGGGGGGGTCGTATGGAGATACTCGAAGAGGGGGGGGGTCGTAAAAATCCTGAAATCGGTCCAACGTGACGGTTGACCCTGGCTTCCAAGCCGCGAAGCGCCGGTGGGCACACATATCGGTCGTTTCGGACCGTATGGCCCGCCGGCGGGCCATGGCAACTAATTTCTTGTATTTCCTTCCCTTTTGACATTTTTTGGAAATTTTAGTTACTAAATATGTTCACAACACCCTAACAAGGCTATGTACACAGTGGTCCACGAATTGCTTTCTTCTAGGGAGAAATCCAGAAACAATAGGCCTAGAAACACTTCTAATGGTAATGTTAGCAAAAATATCATCATTACCCACAGAATAAGAACACAGCTTATGTGGTGGCTTTTGAAAAACCGGAGCAGTAATCTTAGCTCCAATTGTTGCCACACTAGTAATATTCCTAGCATAATTCAGTCGATAGGACCCAGTCGTTGCGGGCCTCACCAATTGTTTGGTCTTGTGAAAAAAATTGTCATTTAAATGTAATACAAATTAAGTGTAATACAAATGAACACGTAAGTAAAAGTGGAGATTCTGGTAGGTGCAGCAGACGCCTTGTCAAAAACCTCACTATGCCTCAAGGCTCCTATCGAAGTCAATAAAATGGTCAGCGTATGTTAGTAACCACACTGCTACCATCATTTTGAATCTTCGTGAACTCGAGCTTTACTACCTATTCCTGGCACTCCTATGTTAAGTCTTGTATGCTTACTCCACGTAATTGCAGGTCAACAAGTATTCATTTGAAATACTTGGGTCTAGGTCTTACGCCCTGGGTTCGTGTTTAGATCAAAGAGGCATCTACTTTGGCCCGCCCGGGTACAACTTCGGTTGGTTGCGTTGCCTAGACTGACCTGCACTTACCGTTTTTGACGTCCAGGTTACCTGATAAGCATAGGCGCTATTCCACATATTGAGATCTTCTCCACCACTACATTTGATGGCTAGCTAGTGAGTGCTGAGCTGTTTTTTGTGCTTTGAACGGTTTCATCGGTTCCCACAGCGCCGTCGGCCCACAGACTGTGGGAACTTTTCGAATCTAGGCTTATTTTCAAAGATTTATTCAGTATTTTAGTTCTCTTTTTGTTCTTGACCAGTCTATCAGAACTAACCCTTTCTGTTGTTGTCACAGCGCACCAATGAGTGCAAAGATAAATAAATAATAAAAAAATAAATTGGTCAGCGTATGGTAGTAACCGTCTAGTGAATAACGTTACTTGTTATTGACACCACAGTAACTAAAGAAAGAAGCTTGGAAGAAGCATTTGTATTCAAATCTAGTCGATTTTGAATGCAAGTTTTGCGCAAGAAAACAGATTGTTTTCGGTAGCTGCAACTTCAACAGTACTATCAAAACACTTATACACTAATGATCTGAGGTCTTTTTCATTGGTCTTTTTCAGTACTTTGCTAATATTCCGTCTGCGTTAGAATGTATGGTTGATTAGTACGACGACTTACTGAAGAAAGTTTGCAGTTTAGTCAATGTTGCTATAATTAAGCAAAAATGCGGTCTCCTGGGACCGTATGGCCCGCCGGCGGGCCACATGCGTGTCTGGCGTGCGGTCCCACACGCTAGACACGTTTAGAGCGCGCGGTCGTCAAAGGGTTGAACAGCACCAAAGTCAACCGTCTGTTCGCACTTTTCGAGGAGTGGGGTCGCACTTGTGATTCAAGAACGGGGTGGGGAATCGCATTTTGGGGTTGAGCAAGGTAATCATGGTGGAGCCGAGGTTGACAGAGGTCGTTAGAGATGTTCGTGTTTGGACGGTTTTCAAAGTTTTACGAAAGTAAAGAGAATTAGAATACTATAGAAATAGCCATGATGGTAGGGGTGTTTCTCGGAGGAGGGGGAAGGGGTCGTATTGGAGGAGCCTTTTGAGACTAATGGTGATAGTGGGGTGACCATCCTAATGGTGTGGGGGGGGGTCATAAATGATTTAAATAAATTTTTTGAAAGGGCGAACGTGACGGTTGACTCTGAGCAGCACTACCTGTTCACTAGACGAACTACTGAGTGGAAAGGCTGCTGGTCAAACAACTGAACAGATGGTGCAACTTTTGCAACTCAAAACGAAATTGGAATGGTGCCAGTAGCTTGGAGCTTGCAAAGAGCTACCCAAGTAGCTACGTACGCCCACCGCAGTGGTATATCCACCGGTGCCACCGAGCTACCACGCTATCTCGTCTCAGCATCTTGTCTCTCTCCTGAACACCTATTATCTCTTATCTCGCGGTCTGCCTCTTAGGCTCCTCCACATTGTGGAACACGGGGGCTCTCAATGTTTCGACGGTTTCTTACCATTTCCACAGTTGCTCCATTCGCGCATCCAGTTTCATGTTCAGGTGAAATTCACAACTCAACTTGATCATGGGGTGCACTTCGAGTTGTATTTCAGACAGTGTTTACTCTAGGAGATTCGTAATGGTTGTTCCACACTTTTTAAACGATCGTGATCGAGAAACGTGAACAACAGCAGCAGGAGCAATTTTTCCAGCAATGATAGAGGCAAGTCGTCCATACTGAAGGCAGTGAACACGATGGCCGGAGGATGGAGGTTTTTGGTGACATCATTGAGCGTGGTCGATGGAAGTGCGTTGAGAGATGATCTTCCACACAGTGCTGCACTGGAGGGACTGGTCCATTAATGAAGCAGAATCACCTCACCTGTGGTCCCGTTAATCGTCGATTCCGAGCGGACGCCAGCAAGGTCTCCATTCGTCCCTGTCGCATGCATTAATGATTTCTCCCCACCGAGGGCACCGAAAAACCTTTCTTCTTTTCGGCTCACCAGCTCAGAGGTCTGATCACCTGGACAGAGGCGTCATGTCATCGTCCCTCACAATCGCATGACGTGTCCGCGCACCTGATCCTCGATTCCTTGGCGAAAACGACAGCGTCCCTGATCTTCGACCGTTGGCGTAGTTTGGAAGTCAGGATCCCCCTCTGCACTTGCTCGTATAAAGTCCATGACTTCAAGCATCGTCCTCCCCTCCTAAACCTTACGAATTGTCTCAATTTTGACGCGTCTCACTTTGTAGATCACATCGCATTCTCCTTGCCCTAACCTCGAGCTCGCTGGATAACGCCCGCATGCTCTTCCTGCCTGCCTAGAGAAAAAGTCTGTTGAAGGCATCGTTATGGGCACAGGAGAATGCAATGTGCACTACAAAGTGAGCGTCAAGTTTGAGGCAGTTCGTAAGGTTAAGGGGGAGGAGACTCCAGGGTGCGTGAGCTTTTTCCATTTTTTCCAAGTTCCTACCCTTCCTGGGCTCAGTTCTAGAGAATGTCCTCCTATGTCCGCGGCGTACTAAAAGAAATCTATATTTCATTGAAGAACGCTTATCGCTTTTTATACTACAATTTCTTCTCTCCTGCTTAATCGCCGAGGTACCCTTCGTTAGCGACGTCTGCAGTGCAGACTTCACATAATAAGTAACGACAGATTCCTCAATGGGTATTTCCTCAATTTTCAGCCAGTGAAATGAAGCTGATTGCAGTTGTATTCTGGTGATTGTCACTAAGTACAGTTATCATTTATGAGCTACCAACTGTCACTCTAATATACTCAATATCATTTTTGAGGGCGTCGTCAATTGCGTTGTAAAGTCTGTAGTGCAGACACACTTTGCTTTGCTTTTTTTCAAACCGCAAATCATCAGCGCAACTTGTTCAACAGTCAGCATTTCATGTTTAATTGAAGCAATTTGAGCTCAAACTATGCTTTCACTAAAACAAAGGTAAACAGAATAGGTGAAAGCAACTAAAAACAAAACTACAGAAAAGAGAAATGCTAAAAGTAGCTACTAGCTAGTAAAAAGAACTGAACAAAAGATAGAGGCTGGTTTGGATGCTGTTTTTGTCGGGTACGGTGCTTCCGAAAGGCTAAACTGGCTATGAGAACGAGTAGGGGAGATGTTGATAGATCATCATGCGATAGAAGTCAATCTCAGGTTATTTTTACCAACATGAGCAGTTGGATCGAAGTCTTCCGGGTCCAATTCGAGTGGTGAGTCCCACCGTACTGTATCAGGAGGTAGAGGATCATCCCTGTAAGAAAGCTCAGTCACAGTGACTTGGATCAGCTTCGATTAAGCGCTGGCTCCAGAGTCAACCCTGCGTTGCGCAGTTTTCAACGGCCACGTTGCGCAGTTTCGCCCGATTAGACACGTTCTCTCGCGCGAACATTCACACTCGCATGCTCGAGCCGTCTGTGTCTCCGCCCATACAGCGTGCGTTGAGGATCTCTCAACGTGCCGTTGCGAACTGCGCAACGCAGGGTTGACTCTGGCTGGCTCTCCTCCTTGCCCACTTATGTCAGAAGATTTGTAGAACTCACTTAGCGATGGTTGTGGTTCCTGGGGTACGGACGTTGACGGGAAGGCGTTCTCCGTTCGGTGACAGTACGCTGAATGGTTTCGCGTTCGACGGCAGTTCTGTAATTGAGGGGATATATATCAAACGGCTCAGGGACAGCGATTTTTTCAGAGTCAAATGATGTAAAATGCCAGCAGAACCGGGACGATGGGCTTACCTATGGAGGTTGTAGTCTGGGTAAGCCGACTAAAATGCCTAATGATTGCCGTTTGCTAGGTTATAGAGGTGCTGACCAAGTGACAGCGAACAAATTCTGAGTGCTTTGTGCTCCGCGTTTTCTGTTCCCTAATTTGAAAATGGTCTGAATTCATGGGCCATGTTAGTTCCATATCTGGTAACTTTCGATCCAATCTTGACACGTAAGACAACTTCGGCTCCAGAACAATCCTCCTCGGTACCAAACACCAGTAAGGCATTTGCAGAATAGATCAAACAGCATAGTCACTTGTCCGTGTCAAATGGGTAGCGGCCAAAGGTGGTTGGGCTCCCAGGCCGAGCTCATCCATGCTCTGCGGATCATAAAAAATCTCAATGGCTCCCCAAAACCCAACGAAACGAGCCCACAACTCGGGTGCACATCAGGTATGTGCCAAAAATACACACTGCGTGCTACGCGCGACAAAATCCGCGACAATCAACATTGGACCTTCAGACCACGTCAACTTTCTAGTCACCTACTGTCAAGGATTCTGTCAAGATTAGTGATCGCAGGCGACTAGAAAGTTAAAGGAATCTTGCGCGGAAAAATCATGATTCTATTTCAGCCATAAATCACTGGCTTGAGACTCATTATCCACGATAATAGTGAAAAGAACTGAAGTATTGCTTTCGTTTTGATTAGAAATTCGAAAACTCGAAAAGGCTGCTACGCGTTCGAATTGCCCACGGACGTCTTTCACGAATGCTGGCGACGGGGATGCTCAAACTTGGTTTCTTGGAGTGCATTCACTAGAAGCTCTTTCTGGCCTTCTGCTTCGTTGCATTCACATCTTACACTTCTACTCCATCCTATTCCATCGATCGATTTGTCTCCACTCTCCGAAATCGCGCGCTTTAACCCGATTCTCTCATTGCGTCGCCTGGTACGTAGCCGGCCAAACGCCGTCTTCTTTCCATGCCTCGCCTGGCTCTGCCTCCTGGTCCTTCGATGGTCCATAACGTGTAGTTTTTGTACGTTTGTTTCTCTTCAGAAACCGAATCTTCATGCGTGAAACTTTGTGTGCTATTTCCAGTGATCACAACTGACATATTCATGTTAGGAAAGAGTGCAAGAATTTTCCGCGCAAGATTCCTTTAACGTGGTCTGAAGGTTGATTGTCGCGAAGTTGTCGCCCTCGTCGCGCGGTGTGTATTTTTGACACATACCTCATGAGCATGTATAAGCCGAGCGGATCATGAGAAGGGAAATGGACTAACTTTGAGTTGACCTATAGAATAACACTTCTCAATACTTTCCGACTTTCTTTTTTTTTTTTTTTTTTTTTGTTTTTTTTACTGTCCTACTTTCTGCCCCTTTTCGCCTTCGAATAGATGAATTGAGAGGCGTAGTGATAGCGTTCATATATTTGGGCATTGCGCATACCACAGCCTGATGGAAAGGTGTAACCAATGTTCACGAAACTTGGTCAAATAGATAGGGAGCTTTTAAGACTACCTGCAAGTTTGTAGGAACAACGGCAGAGGTGGAGGATTGCAGAACTTTTGCACATACGGATAAGACCAGTCGCATTTGCAGGCCGCGGTACAATGTGGGTGGATTCGATGATCACAATCGGGAGTACAGGGTTTCCTAGAGAAAAGGAAAATCATTTTAGTGTTCAGCTTGCTTCAAACAAGGTCGTGTAAACCAAACCAACTTGTACTTCTTCTTCTTTTGAACTCTTTTACGACCTCTGCCTCGTTTCCCCTCTGAAATATGCATTTGTTAGGAATAGTCATTAGAGCTACTAATGGGCACAGTGAATTTTTCTGCGGTACTGTTTGGTCAACCGTCGGCTGAAAAAGTCCCATGAGAGAGATGGTCCCCGTGGCTTTTCGAGCTGAAGATACCGCCTAGAACTAACATAAGAGGGACGTTGTTGAAATAGTTGGCACCCAAAACGTCCCTAACCCAATCAGAGTGAACGCGCGGAGAGCACAGACGGCTCGCTTGTGGCGAGAGTGAATGTCTGCGCGAAAGAGCATGACTGAACGGACAAAAATCTTCGATGAGTCGCCGACGAGTTCTCGACCGATTTTCACCCACCCAATGGCCAACTCTGCTGGTAACCTCCGAAGGTGTCCAGGGTTCCTTGCTTAATGAACCGGAAGGAAGAAGGCATAAGATGAGTTCCAACATAACCGGACCAATTTTGCCGCACACCGCACGCATAGAGGTTGCGCTGAAATTGGTTGCCAGGAAATGGCCGCACCTTGTCGCGTTATGTCGCGCGCGACAAGTAGCGAGACTTACTTTTTGTGCCTGCAAACAAAAAGGATAGTCGAAAGATGTGCTTCTCGCCCAGGCGGTCGGCCAACCAGCCCGCGCAATCTCCTGCCTATATAGTGGCGAAGTTATCGCAATCGCAACAAGGAGCAGTCAGTCCAGGAGATTAATACCTATTTATCACGAACCTTTGAGCGTCCGCCGCCATGGCGCGATCCCGGGTTCAGGTCGAAGTTTCAAAAATTGCGCAGTCATGAGGAGGGGCGTGTGCCTTTATTCCGACCTAATTTCCGTTGTGAGGACCTGATGCGGGCGCAATGAATACGATTTTAATCGCTGCGAATATCGCGTGAACAGTCTGTCTTCAATTGTCGCGGGCGCGCCAAAAATCTGGACTGCAAGAGGGCGCGACGGTCGCCGTGACCTACAAGACCAAAAGCCAATGCATATTTTGTTGCGCTTAGAATCTAGTCTACCACTTCAGCAAAACTTGTCGGGAATCGTTGATTCATTACATCAGCAGCCGTTATTTATTTGCCGATCTACGCATAGAATTGTAATTTTCCACAGTAAAATTATATTTCTACAATAATTCAATAAAACAAACCCCTGGATTGTCTAGATCCGGAAAGTTACTGTCGACAATGTTGCTAGGTGAATTTGGATTTTCACCGGTGGCAACGTTTTTTGTGAACGGATTCGCTGGGCTGAAAAAACAAGGTTAATATCGTATGGCTATTGAAGTGAAATTGCCGATGACGGCATGCGGCAACTGATTTGTGCCTACGTAGCAGCTTGGAAACAATAAATAAGCGCTCTGCTTAGCGATTATATGCTGAATATTCTATGCCTTCATTGTGGTTAATCATGACGATGAGGTTGCTGTGATAAAAGCGGCCACGAATTGAACTATAGAGATGACTTTTTTTTTGGCCGATTGAGACATGGGTCGCGACCGACTGGTAGGAGTGGCAGCGGTTGCAGCGGTCAAGCGAAGGCTTGTGCTCTCTTCATTGCGCACTTCAAAGTTGTAACGGTATCGCCACCCTTCTGGCTGGGGTTCCTGCTATCTCATTCAAGAAGCGAACTATAGCGAAACCTACATGTTCGCGACCCGACTTCAAGCCCCGTCGGATAGTTATGGCTCATTTTTGTCGGCCAAGACTCAGGGAAAAAGAGCGGTGCAAAAAAATCGACGTACCTTTGAGGACGATCCCGGCAACTTTTCTTGTACGACGGACAGAACTGTGCAGTGATCTGTGGATTATCACTGTCTCCTGTGCAATAGTACTCATAGTTCACAGCGAACTTCTCACAGTACTCTTCCCGAGTGCCTTTGAAGCGGTAGACACCGGTGCCAGCGCCTGGTTTGTCGCCGCCGCCACTTTCATCATCGTTTCTCCACCCTGAAAAAGGGCCATTCCTTCCATCTCATCAGTTTTTTCAGATATCCCTACTGAACTATCACTTAATGCTAAGCCCAACTATTCCCATATCGTTTTGTTGCGTCACTTCCAGAGTTAGTGGTTTTTTTCACACGATCAATACGCATGTTTTGCGCAGAGAGTCACTGTAGTCACGTGAACATGATCACTAACTCTGTAAGTAACCCAACGAACACGACTCTTACATCACATGTTAACTGGACCGTGAACAGGAATAATTGCTACGAGTTAACCACTGTCGCTAGAGCTTTCCATATAACGCAATATTATTGCTAACTTTTGTAGTCCGTAAAAAAAGAACAAAAAAAAAACTGAACGAAGTGGCAAAGGTCGTGTGACGTCATCATTTGGTTTTGAAGGATTTTTTCTCAAAATGTTTTCTCGACTTCAGAAGCGCTACGAGGAAAAAATTCTGGCCCGAACTGATTTCCAAGGCCCGATTGGGAGCGCTGCACCATTTCTGGTGAGCGAGGCAGGGAGGGTATATTATACCAGTTGGCGCCGCACGCATTGCGCGCGCAACACAGATCTGCGGCGAATTTTGATGGTGCGACGAAAATTTTCAAATTTGGCTTGATACAATACGAATATCTGAATTCTCCGCTAAATTCTATCCGCTCTTTCTTCGTCAACCATTATCCTATTTTTCTCGGTCCTCGGGCCCGGACAATAAATCTCGTGGCGAACTCCGTCTACTTCGGTGCGTGCCCTGCCCACCAATAGCATTTGGCTCCCTTCTTTTCGCCGACCTCTACCCCCTTTTTCACCGGTCTCTGGGACCTCTTGGAACCAGGGTCAACCCTGCGTTGCGCAAATTCCAAATTTTTTGCGACCCCCTCCATTTCAAGGGGTGTCAGTGCGACCCCCCCCCCCTCTATTGGACATGTGTGTTTTTTAGTGTTACGGTGTATTTCTGTGTGTATCAACGTCTTGTTCGTTCGGGATCCAGCTGTGACAGTTCATCGAAAGCACAAAGACGACGTCCACCCAACATCTGACACATTGTGTTATTATTACATATTACGCACGTCGCAAACAAATAAAAAATGTGGGTACCCCCCAGGAGGCCCGTCGCGCGGCAAGATTGCCGAGTCAGCGGAAGAGTTCGCGCGTATTAGGGAAATCGCGTCAAGTTAAATAGAATGTCCCATTGCACGTCCCTCATCGCACATCACGCGCCGCGACTCGTCCGCCCCGACTCGGCCTTCTTGCCGCGCGATGGGCCTCCTGGGGGGGGGCACCCAAAAAACGTTATGAGCTACCACGCACCGCTGCAAGCAGAACGGGCGCTAGCTGAACATCAACAACAATCAGCTTTTGACAGACTTCATCAGTATCGAGAAGAGAGCATTTAGCGCCTGAGCGCTTAACAAGGGTTTTTGCTCATTCGAGGCAAGAAATAGAGAATTCTGGAAAATTCGCAAACTTTAAACTTGAGTAAACAATAAAGTTGATGAATATATGGCAACTGTCGTTACCTACTACGCACACGGTCCGAGGATCAAATCCTGGCCAGACCAATGATACCAAATTCGTGTGGCAGGACAAAAACGCTGAATTGTACATCGGGTGCCCCGCAAGTCACGTTGTGGAAAAAATCACATTGAAAAAACGCTACGATTCTGAATGGAGGTAGAAGTGCGTGGCGCTTCTCAAGAAGGAATTGATGGGCGCCAATGCTTTATCTTATTCTACCTTTACGTGGGAAGAACCCTCTGGATTGGATGAATAAAAGGATAGGATAAAGCATTTGCCGTTGATCAATCCCTTTTTGGGATGCGGCACGCATTCTACTTCCATTTGTACATTCGTAGTGGCGTTTGAATGCGATGTGGCCTATACAATGACTTGCGGGGGCCAGCCGATGTACAAGTCAGTGTTTTTATCCTCCCAGACAAGTCTGGTACCAATTAACCGACCCGGAGGGATGGAAGGCTTGGTTGGCCCGGGCGACTCACGACCCAGGATTTGATCCCGGACCGCTCGCGTGGTAAGCGTGCCACTTCCCCCTCCCGCCTAATAGGTAAGTTTTCTTGCAAAATTGCAAAAAATTTCACAATTTTTGCCACTTCTCCGGCAGAAGAACACCCACCCTCTTCATCGATGGATTTCTTGGAGCCTGAGGAGATGGGCGGGGAGAGGGTGATGGGGCGGTGGGGCTGAGGAGGGCGAGAGGTAAGTGGAGATGAACAATCTAACCACCAACAGCCCCCGCCTGTCCGTGGAAAGGAAGAACGAGGCTCAGCATGAGTGCTCCAGGAGGGGGAGCAGCTTGTGTTTGATTTGTGCTGACGCCGTAGTTTCCAATAGCCATGGATTATTCGGGGGAGGGGAGGGGGAGAGAGCATTACTATGTTCTCCAAATGAACCCAATGAATCCGGTGGAGAACCGAAGGGGAACTCAAGGAAATATATAGAAATTAGGAAGAACAAATAGATGCCTCCATTCATAATGCTTCCTAATCGGTAGTTCGATGCATAGAAATCTCGGCATGCGACGTTTGGCAAAAACGCATGATTCAGGGTGCGGTAAATCTCTGATCCACAGCTTCATCCAGGTACGGTATGATATTCTCCACACTGGTTATTCTTCCCCGTACTGACATAAATATTTTGAATAGTTTCTGCGAGAGCTGTTTCAATTTGTGATTCTCTCGGGGACAGGTGTTGAATGGTTCAAAATGTGATATGAACTGTCACAACTTTGATTTAAAATAATTATTCAAATACACAGGAACGGCCATAAGGGCAGGGAACATCGACGTCATCGTTCACTTAAGACTAGGGATACGTGGCGCGACGAAAGCAAAGGGAATTTTGTGTAATGTGGACAGTAATGAAGCAGAAAAAGGGTACAAAGGTGCTCACAAAAACCGTATGTTGGTGACTAATGATAAAATGAAAGACATTTTTCGGTCCAAGCAGGGTTCTGTTGGTGTGAAAAAAGGATGAAACATGAATATAAGACATATTAGCTCTTTTTATGACACACCATGCACATGGCTTCCATTCCGAACTAATACATTTTGAATGGTAGCTGGCCTGCCAATCTGACAATGACTTGTGGCTAGCTTTCTTTTTTGAGCAAGCGACCCAGATGACGTCCTGTCAAACAGCCGATTACAGTGTTTGTTCTGTTGGTGGGATAGAGCAGCCGATTACAATTGCGCCCTTGTCACCCTCGAAAGTATGGAACAATGGCGCTTGCCAGTGAGGTGATGATCGGCTATTGTGAGCTAGGGACGCAGAATACCTTCCCGCCACCTCCCATCCCTATGGTATGCAGAAGTAGTTAGTAGAACCCACGGGGGGGGAAGGGCGGAGTTAGCGGAGCCTTGGAGCAAGCGAATTCGAACAACTCGTCCATACACGCGCTTCCCATCATTCCAAGGGGCAAGAGAGGAAGTACCTGTAAAGGGTTTCATTGAGGGTGCTAAAGGGGTTCGAGAAGGTAGAACATAATATTTCCAGCGGAACATGCGATTTCAAGCCCTCCCAAACCTTGCCGATGATTTGTTGTTGAATCCATGATTTAATGAAATAAAATTCATCCAATAAAATCGCACCTAAGCAGGCGTATAGAAGCATCATCAAAAGACATTGTATGGACCCATATGCATTCAAGTGGGACTGGGTTTCCTGTGGGAAGCAGATACGTGGCGCATCCGAAAAGGAGGCTAATCAACACCGAGTGCTCTTTCTTTGTAGGCCTTTGTAGCGAGAAATGAAGCGAAAAGGGAAAAGTTGATCTCAAAGCAATCTACTAGGCGCTTTTCCACTAAATGTGCTCAGAATTCGCCTTAGCAGATTGACGACAGCGCGGGATAGCTTTATCGATCCTCCATTCTATTTATTCTCAAAATTTATCCTTTTTTTGTATTTTATTCTTTGATTGTATATTGACACAATTATGAACGACGTGGGTCAGGAAATGTTCGATACGCTTCAATTTAGCAAGGGTTTTCTAAGCTTCACTAGTTTTCAGCTCTCGTTCGTTCAGTCCATCTTTCCTTCATTCTCTTCTTATTGCCATAAAAATGTTAATGAAAGCAGTGGGCAACTAAGATCGGAGCGGGCGGACGGCAGGAATGTGTTTTTACTCAAACAATTGAATCAAAAGTGCTTCTGACATTAACAACAGCCAGATTTAATGAATTTTGCTTTTTCATTGTCCGCTTCTACACTTTGGGTTGAGGTTCTGCTACCGTACATATGGTTAACTTCATTGCT